ACCTGTGCTGTTGCAACTGCTCTTTCCTGCGAGCAACCCTGTGTGCACACGCACTTGGCACAGGCTCCTCGGGAACCTCCTCATCGCTGCTGCTAGCCCCCACAATCTCTGAAGGCAGCAGTCTACTCCCTGATGGTCCTGGCTCCTCATCTGAGTCCTCACTCTCCTCAGCCGTCCGCACCTGCTGCTGGCTAACCACAACACAAAGGTGCATTTTCAAAAGGTGACTGGACTTTTGTTTCCTTGAAGTCGTTTTGCTTCTCATCTAGGAAGCTTCTTCAGAACATCTTCAAGGAAAGAAGCTCCAGTTTTGAAGAGCACCGTTGGTTCTGAATTTTTCGGACCCCCCAAAAAGCCTTCTATTAGTGGGTGCAACAAACTGAATCTTCTCCAAAGAGAAGAGTTGGGAGATGCAAATTCCTTCCTTTCCTTTCCTATCCACTGCCGAGTAACAGATAAGCTGCCTGTCATGCAGAGTGTTAATTGGCCCTCTTCTGACACTTTGAAGGCTATGAATAGGATTGCCAAGAAAATCCTAGCTCTGCTGCAGTAAATTAGTATCTTTAGGCCGCCAGCTTCACTCCAAATCAGTGGCTTAGAAGAAGGAGGAGACCTTAAGCAGGTAGTGGGTTAATCATAGGAGCAATATGAAAAGGAGAATGTGTCCATGTGTGGTTAGAGAGAGCTCTGAGGACTGTAAGGAAAAGACATTTAAGCATCGGACACAGTAACTTTGCGGGCACAGCTCTCAAATCCCTTTGCTTTGTAAAACCCCGAGTGGCTGGATTTGAATAATCAGATTTAGAGAGTGCAATAACACGAGGGTTTAAGTCATGAGCAACGTACGAAACTTGTTCCTGAATTATATAAGCCATGCTACTGAAAGTTGGGAAGAGAATCTTTGGGAATTACCAGCACTCGGGGGCAGGGACAGCGGGAATGTAGGGTTTGTCTGAATGTTTGCATTTAAGCTTCTAGACACCCAAGTTACTGAGGCTAGGTTTGGAACTGGATGGCCCATTTTTGTCTCTTCAGAGAATTTTCCATTGTGTGTTTCTTCCTAGGAATGGACAGACTGTCTATTTGCAGCTGTCTGTGGTTGCAACATTGCAGAGAAGATGTAGGAGATGAGCAGGCTGAGGTGGAGGGCGGGGTTAAATGCGTCATCAGTTTGGAATCATTGCAGAGTCACAAGAGACCCCTATCCAGCCACCACCACCTCCGTGAATTCCATTGAGCCTTATCTGGCACCATTTTTGCTTGGACCATTAGTTTCCCAGATTCTTGTGTGTAGGTAGCAAGAATAGACTCTTAGTGCCTTGAACTCAGCTCCTGTTCCTGGTTATTTGCACCTGGTCATAAATCTGAGCAACTAACGGTCCAGGCTAAATTGCCGCTAGATATGGGACAATGGAATTCATGGGGGAACAGGCATGGGTCTCGTGTGGCGCAATGATTCCAAACTGATGGCATGTTTAATTCTACCCTCCGGCTCAAACTGCTAATCCTTCAGGAGATTAAGCCTCTCTCCTTATTACAGTTTCCTTAAGAAGCTGTTGAGGAGACTCAGTGTACCTTAAGCAGAGATGGAGAGTGACCCTGCTAATTTTTGAAAAATCTAACTCTGCCCACTGCCAGCTCCAACTTTTTAAGTATTTTAAAAATTGAATGTTGCAGCTGTGTTCACGTGTTACTTTTGGATCTATAATAGGTGAAGAACACCATTTACTTTTCTGCTCTTTGGACATTTTTACTGTTCCCTTTAATGGCTTGCAATGTCTGCTGAATTTTACAATGTCCCCCATGATCCTTGGTTATGCTGGTTAATTCCTTCCTTCCTTCCTTCCTTCCTTCCTTCCTTCCTTCCTTCCTTCCTTCCTTCCTTCCTTCCCTCCCTCCCTCCCTCCCTCCCATCAATCCATCCATCCATCCATCCATCCATCCATCCATCCATCCATCCATCCATCCATCTGACTACCCATTCCCTAGGACAGTGATGGCTAACCTTTTTGGGCTCCTGTGCCAAAAATTGTGTGCACGTTTGTACGCTCATGCGCTACCACCCAGAAGGCAATGTGCCCCCCCTTCCCCCCTACACATACGCATGCAATTCTCCCCCCACTCCTGCCTGCTGCCCCCTTACCTGCATTGTGCCCCACAGCTGATTTTCGGCAGGTTTGAGGCCTCTTTTGGCCTCCCAGAGGCTTGAGGAAGACTTCTGCAGGCTTCTGCGGGCTTTGCAGGCTGAAAACTAGGCCCGTTTCATCACTTCCGTTATTTTCAGAAAAACAGGAAGTGACAAAACAGGGCTAGTTTTTGGCCTGCAAATCCTGCAGAAGCCTGCAGAAGCTTTTCTCAAGTCTTTGGGAGGCTGAAAAAGGCCTCAAACCAGACGAAAATCAGCTGTGAGGCGCGCAGGCGCAGTGAGGTAAGTTTGCCTGCAGCTCGTGTGCCAGCACAAATGGCTCTGCGTGCCACCTGTGGCATGTGTGCCATAGGTTTGCCCTTGGAGGCTTTGGTGGATAGCAAGCATTTAAACAAAAAACAGATACAAAGGAAAATGGAGGACAAAATAAAATAGTCTTCATTGCGGCCCTGACACATAATCCGTATAGTTACAACAGGGCCAGTGAGCATGCCAACTCTGTTGGATCATACAGGACACGAATGGTAGTCAAAAATACATAGATTTTTCAGACAAATTTAGAGATGAATCGGTGTCCCTCCCTCAGATAACCTCCTTCTCAAAGTTCTGGTACAAGTGACTTCTAGAAGATTAATTGTATTGAGTGTTCCCAGTTGTTTTGTTGTGGTTTTAAAAGTTGGTTTTTCTCTTACGTTGAATTATTAATTTTCCTTTGTTCCATATAAATCCTGCCTCCCCCCCGCCCCCCATGAAGCTGATCTAGCTTATCTAGTTTATCTTATCTAGTTTTATCTAGTTTTTAGACAAAAGAAGAAAAGAAAAAAGGCCATGTTTCCTAGCAGAAATTTGTGCTTTAACGGAAAATCCTCTAGTCAAAGTTGTTCCTAAATCTGCTTCTGAAAGGAATACAGAGCATCCTCGACTTACAACCATTCCTTTAGTGATCGTTTGAAGCAACAACGGCACTGAAAAAAAGAGTAATTTATGACAGCTTTTCACACTTGCAGCATCTCCATGGTCAAAATTCGGATGCTTGGCAACTGGCATGGACACATGCCAGTTGCAATGTCCCAGGGTCCTGCAATCCCCTTTTGTGACCTCCCGACAAGCAAATCCATGGGGAAGGCAAATTCATTTAGCGACGGGTGTTACTAAGCTTAACAATTGTGGTGGCTGGCTTAACAACCGTGGCTGGAAAAGTTGTGAAATGGGGCAAAAACCTACTTAACAACCCCTCTTGCTTAGCAGTGGAAATTTTGGGCTCAGTTGTGGTTCGTTTGTCATGGATTGTCTGTATTGGCGTCTTGGTTGGTCTGCTTTGATGAGGTTCACACATGGGAAATGGTACAGCAGCAGCATCTGGAATCAAAGCTGAGCTCAGAACTGATTATAAGCAATGGTGGGATTCAAACGTTTTTTACTACCGGTTCTGTGTGTGTGGTTTGGTGGGTGTGGTGTGGCGTGGCTTGGTGGGCGGGACAGGGGAAGGATAGTGTAAAATCTCCCCACCCCACTACCCTGCTTTCCAGCTCCGTTCTCCTGGGCAGGGCAACCAAAGAAGACCCAGCCAATCAGCTGGGACTCGGGAGGCGGAGAAGAGATAGGGGCGGGGCCAGTCAGAGGCGGTATTTGCCAATTCTCCGAACTACTCAAAATGTCCGCTACCAGTTCTCCAGAACTGGTCAGAACCTGCCGAATAACCCACCTCTGATTATAAGCCTCACAATTCCTTACCTTCTCCCTCAATGAGTTTGCATCTTGGTTTGTTGCATCTGAATCCAGCACAGGGACAGCTGTGTCATTCTGACTCTTGTTTTTAAGCATTTGTTCCTTAGTATGGTCACGGGGCTTTTTTTTCAACAAGATTTTTTTTGTTATTCTCCAAGGTGTGTGTGTGTGTGTGGGGGGGTGCTTGCTTACCTGGTATCGTCCCTTGAAAATAAAACAGGAAAAATAAACAACAAGCGATCCAGCCTCGTCAGAATACAGAATAACAGAATTGGAAGGACTTTGGAGGTCTTATAGTCCAACCTTTTGGTCAACCAGGAGATCCTGTGGAATTGGTTTGAGGGCTTTTTATGAAATTCTTTCCCCAGGAGTGACGTATTAACAATCCAGTGTGAAGAAAATTAAGGATCGTTGGAATTTTGAATTATGATTATGATCAGGATTTATCACTTGTAGTTAATATGTACACTGTGACCTTATGTACCAGGGACAAATTGCTTGTGTGTATCCAATCACACTTGACCCATAAAATGTTCTGTTCCATTCCATTCCACCCTACCCTACCCAGTAAAATGTTAGTTATGACTGTTTCTAGCTTCAGCAATATAGTCCATCCGCTTGCTCTCTGACAGTTATAAAGTAGACTAGAATACTTTCTTGGCGAAGTATGATTGGACACGCAAGGAATTTGTCTCGGGTGCATTCTTATATGTTGGCTGAACCATTCTCTTCCAGTTTTTAAATGTATTTAGCCTGGTTAGGCAGACTTATTATCTCTATTCATAAGCCTCCCTCCTGCTTTTCATTGTGGCTCTTGTAACTTGATGGAGGGAGGAAGCAGGATCCAAGTCCAGAAATAAGAGAAAATGGAATCAGGACTCAATTGCCAAGAGTTTATTTGGTTTAGTTTTGTGCTTTACTGAAAGGAAACGAATACATTTCAGTGCCCACATTCACTGTATTGGCATTTTCCTCTTTTTTTTCCCTCAAGTTAAAGAACATTCAGCAAACGGAAGCTGAAAATTGCCTGACCTTACAGCAGAGCTCACACCAACTCTGTAGGAAATGCCACATGTCCTTTCCAAGCTAAGCTAGTTTTTAACGGAAATTGTACCTTTTCTTACAGGGATTCCTAAAAAATGAAAAGGATAATGCTTTGCTGTCTGCCATTGAAGAGTCCAGGAAAAGGGTAAGTATTGAAAGTAATGTAAAAGAATATCTAACATCCATCCATCCATCCATCCATCCATCCATCCATCCATCCATCCATCTATCCACCCAACCGTCCATCCATCCGTCTATCCATCCATTTATTTACCTGTCTCTGTTTATTTGTCTATATCCGTCCATCCATCCATCCATCCATTTGTTTATTTATTTATTTACCTATCTGTCTATTTGTCTATCTGTCCATCCATCTATCCGTCCATCCATTTACCTGTCCATCCATCCATCCATCCATCCATCCATCCATCCATCCACCCATCTCAATTTGGAACCATCCATCTCCCTTACAGAGGGAAGCCGGGTGGTGTACAATAAAAAGACAAAGATAAAAGCAGTACATAAAGGTACATTTTTGAAAGGATGATTAGAACGCGGTTGAAAATCAATTAAAAGGTGACAGGAAGGCTTTCAGGGCACTAATCAGCCCCCCCCCCCCACTGCATTTAAGCAGGAAAAAACAAATGCGTAAGTATAGAATAGGGAGTACCTGACTCAACAGGAGTAACCGCAAGAGGGATCTAGAATTTCTTAGTGGACCACCACTTAAGTATGAGACAGCCGTGCGCTGCAGTTGCCATAAAAAGCCAGTGCAACCCTGGGCTGCATCAACGGAGGAATAATATACCAAGATGACAAGAAATGATAGTACCGCTTTATACTGCATTAATGAAACCATGCATCCACTTGCATCCAGTCCTGATCACCACGAAACAAAAAAGATGGTGAGATTCCATAAAGTAGGCAGAGAGGAAGAGCGACAAAGATGACAAACTGTCTGGAGGGCAAACCATACGACGAAGGGTTAAGGGAATTAGATATATCTAGCCTAGTAGGGATGACACGATTGCTGTCTTCCAGTATTTGAGGGGCTGTCACAGAGAAGAGGGGACTAACTTATTTCCCGCAGCACAAGGAGGTCAGGATAAGAACCAAGGAGTGAACCAAGTAGTTAAAGAGAGATCCAACCTAGAACAAAGGAGAAATTTCCTGACAGTGAGAACAATTCATGACTGGAACAACTTGCCTCTTGGAGGGGACTTGAGATTCGATTTGTCTGGGATGGTGTAAAGCTCCCTGATTTGAGCAGGAGGTTAGTCAAGAACAGTGGTCGCCAACCAGTGGGCCGGGGACCACTGGTGGTCTGTGAGAAAATCTTGGTGGTCCACAGAGAAATGTCTCCCCCAAAGCAATTAATCCAAGCTGCGTGGGAACACAAGGCTATGCCGCCCACATGGCCCGCGGGAACCCAAGGCTTGCGTCGCTTGCATTGAGAACAACACAAGGGAGTGAGGGGAGGGGGGAAAGGGCGGAGGGGGGGGATTTGCCCCGCTCGCCCAACATGCCTCCTCTGGCCACTGGGCTGCTTCTTTCCGCTTCTTTCTTCTCCTGCTTTTGGCTGCATGCAAGGAAAGCAGCAAAAGTCTTTCTTTCTCTCCCCCAAACTGTACCAGAGAGGCTCCAAGAGGCTGCGCCAGCACCAACAAGTCTCAAAAAGACTCATTTCTGGTGGAATTTGGGAGAGAGAGAGAAAGACTTCTGCTGCTTTCCTTACATGAAGCCAAAAGTCTCTCTCTCTCTCTCTCCCCGCCTCTCCCCCCCTCCCCCGAGAACGAAGCTGGAGAGTGTCCTGCAATCACAAATAAAGAATGACCAATTGGTAGGAAAACGGGGTGGAGAATTTTCCTGCAAACTTTTGGGGGGATTTTCCCAGGGTCTCTGATCCGTGGGATTTAAAATTATGAGTTTGGTGGTCCCTGAGGTCCAAAAGGTTGGTGACCCCTGGCTTAGAGAGGGCTGTAAAAGCACTGTAAAGTGGTATATAAGTCTAAGGACTTCCTTCCTTCCTTCCTTCCACCCACCCACCCACCCACCCATGATAACTGGACATGGGGGACCAAGTTGGAGGTATATGCCACGCCCCGGGTCATCTCACCCTGAGACAAGACTTCCCCAACTATTGTAGGAAAGGCAAGATTTAACAAGAAAAGCAGTATCTTGAGCAATTTAATCTGCTTTCCAAGCACAAAATGGCACTGCGCCCGTAAGTCCAATGGCCCTTCAAACTGTTAAATTCGTAATCATAAGAGCAGTCATATGGATGGATGGGAGGGAACAGGTACAGTCCTTGGTGAAAGTGTAGCCATAATGAGAGAAACAACATTTAAATGCCTATTTTGGCTGATGACGCCCTTGTGAATGATATCTCTGAATTTGTCATGTTGTTGTCTGAATTCCTGCCTAGCATTATTGTTCCGCTGGCAAATCTCTTTTAAGTACAGCCTTCTCCAAGCTGGCGTTCCCCAGGATTTATTAGGACTACAGCTGTCAAAATTGCAATTCTCAGATTTTTAGCCTCCACACATCTGGCGCTGGCTCTGAGAACATGTGTTTTCTGGGATCCATGCTGAGAACATCAAGACTCTTATCTCTGGCAGAAAATCTGTGCTTTCTCCATTAAAAAAAACCTAATGCGACAGTGATGAATTTAGGTTCTGAGGACATGCAGCTAGTCCTTGACTTATGACCACAATTGAGGCCACAATTTCTGTTGCTAAGCAAGACAGTTAAGTGAGTTTCCCCCATCCCATTTTACGACCTTTCTTGGCACAGTTGTTAAGTGAATCACTGCAGTTGTTAGCTTAGTAACATGGCTGTAAAATGAATTAGGCTTCCCCATTGCTCTTGCTTGTGAGGTCACAGAAGGTAACCACGTGACTCCAGGATCCTGCAGCTGTCATAAATATGAGTCAATTGCGAAGCGTCTGAATTGGAAGGGACCTTGTAGATCATTGGTCACCAACCAGGGACCAGGGACCACTGGTGGCCAGGGACCACTGGTGGTCTGCGAGAAAATTTTGGTGGTCTGCGGAGAAATGTCACCCCCAAAGCAATGAATCCAGGCTGCGTGGGAACACAAGGCTGCGCCACCCACATGGCCTGTGGGAACACAAGGCTTGCATCACTTGCATTGCAAACAACACATAGGGAGGGGGTGAAAGGGCGGAGGAGCCTGGTCTGGCCACGGGGCTGCTTCTTTCCGCTTCTGTCTTCTTCTGCTTTTGGCTGCATGCAAGGAAAGCAGCCAAAGTCTTTCTTTCTCTCCCCCAAACTCCGCCAGAAATGAGTCTTTGGGACCCTGCAAGGCCTCCTGCTCCAAGAGGCTGCTTTGGCATGACAAGTCTCACAAAGACTTGTTTCTGGTGGAGTTTGGGAGAGAGAAAGAAAGACTTCTGCTGCTTCTGCTGCTTTCCTTGCATGAAGCCAAAAGTATCTCTCTCTCCTTCCCCCCCTGAGTACGGAGTGGGAGACAGTGTCCTGCGATCCCAAATAAAGAACTATTGTTTGTCAGGAAAACGGGGCGGGGAATTTTCCTGCAGACTTTTTTGGGGGATTTTCCCAGGGTCTCTGGTCTGCAGGATTTAAAATTATGAGTTTGGTGTTCCCTGAGGTCCAAAAGGTTGGCGACTCCTGATCTAGTCCAACCCCTTGCCCAAGCAGGAGACCCTACACAATTTTTGACAGATAGCAGTCCAGTCTCTTCTTGAAAGCCTCCAGTGATGAAGCTCCCACAACTTCCGAAGGCAACTTCTGTTCCATGGATTATTCTCACTGTCAGAAAATTTCTCTTTATTTCCAGGTGATGTGAAATAAATGAGCATAGACATCTGGCAGAAGTTGAAAAATGGAGCTCAGTTCTCCATCCTTGAGGGTGGTCATATATATATATTTTCCCCCACCCTGCAAAATCCATATATATGTATATATTTCCCCCCCCCATCCTTCTTGAATCTCTCTTTTATCTTCCCATCCCATTAACTCCCCCAAATTGTCCTCCCACTTTGGGTTTCCTAAATCAAACATGGTTTTTAAGAAAATGAATAAATTATGAGCAAAAGAAAAAAAAAGATCACATTTAGCGTAATTCTGCTTTCTGCGGTTTGAAAGCATCAGAGCCCAAGAACCTTGGTTACTGGAAATCGTTTTAATCCATGAAAGCTTGGGAGGGCGAATGCATTTAGAATCTTCTGCAGTTCTTGTTTACCGAGAAATTGAGAATGAGACGGAAGGTGAAACCCAAGGTAATAATTTTGTAAGCATGACAGAGATGTAGGCGGCTGGGAACGTATTTTATGCCATTTTGGAATTGATGAGCAGTGAGATTTGGAATTAGGGAGAAGATAAGCCCATTTGGGAAACTGGGAACCTTGGTCTCCAGTATTTGGTTTTCTGAGCTTTCTGATTTTTTTTTTTTAAAGATATTTCTCATCCAAGAAATTTCTTCAGTTCCAATTAATTGATGGGGAATTGAAGAAGCTTCTTGGACAAGAAGTGAAATGTCCTAAAGAAGGACCAAAAAACTCCAGTTGCCTTTACAATAAAATCAGAGCAGCAGTAGCAATTTTATTATAGCCACAGACCAGCATTGCAATTAAGAAGCATTCCAAAATAAAATAAAATAATAATAAAAAAAGACAAGGTAATATTTAATAATTAGTTGGTGAATTAGCAGTGGGCGGTCAAAACCTTCCCTAATTTTTCAGACAAGTATAACAACATCTGGCTACGTTTGAAGAGGCTACATTGGACTGATCCGATAACAGCAATTTTACATGAAAAGGTGGTTTTTCCCCAGGTATTTTATCAGGTGAAGGCTTATGAGATGGATCCGCGAATCCAAATAGAAGGTACAATTTAAGAAGACATGAGCTATAGTTTGACTGCAGGGGCAGTCTCGAGTCATATGGAATTTTTTAATATATAAAACGAGCTGGATACCTGTGCTTCACTACGAAATTATGTGATCAGGCTTAGTTTTTGGAGAGGAAAATAAGGAGAGAAAAAAAATGTGCCTCTGCATACCAGCATCCACTGGTATTCATCTGGCTAGCGTCCTGTCAGTGTGTGAGACAGTTCACGGCTGTATGGAAACTGAAGCAGTGTTTTCTATGTGAGCAAGAAGGAGACAGCAAGGAGCCTGGGCGTGGCTTAGCTCAGCTGTTCTATACTAAAGCTGGTAGCTGCTGGGAAACTGAAACTCCTCTCTTCTGCTTGCGTTTTGCATTTGGAACAGATTTCTTTCCAGGTGAGGAGGGAGAATAGAACTCCTTAGCATCAGAGCGTGTTAATAACAATGATGTAGGAAATACTAATGCTCTGATGGTCATTTGAAAAAGCCTTTCGTAGTGAGCCTCTAGAAGCCAAGAGGAACATACATGCCAAATTACAAGTTTGTAGGCTTTACGGTTCTGGAGGTTTTGTGATGATGTGTAGGTGGCATTTCGCTTTTATATAGAGAGATTGATAAAGACATTTTTGGGACAATCTTTTTCCGGGATGAATGAGACCCTCCCTAGACATCCAGTAGCCAGGTTAAATTATACTTTGAGTTCCTCGGCAGATGATAAACCAAAGCGTTTTATAATGTCTTTGTAACTACTAGGTTTTCACTGAAGTTGGGATGATGGTTTGTTCTTTTCTCTTTATCAATTTCTTCCCAGACCTTTGCTTTGGCGGAAGAATATCACCGAGAATCAATGTTGGTTGAATGGGAACAGATGAAGCAGCGGATCCTTCATACTCTGCTGGCTTCTGGAGAAGACAGTCTGGATTTCACCCAGGAAAATGAGGTATTTTTGGAGGGGGGCGGCGGGGAAAAGAGTATGGAGCAACTGCATTCGTAAAATTATTGGCTTGAATTAACCAGCTATTTGTTTGACTTCAGGTTTGTTTTGGTTTTTTTTAAGCAATTTTAAAATGTTCAGGCTTAGTTTATCCTTCCTTGCAATAAAATAATTAAATTACTTGTTGATTGATTGTTGATTGTACCCTATGACTATCATTAAGTGTTGTACGTTATGATTCTTGATTCTTTTTAAAAAAAACAAATTTTATTAATTTTAAAAAACAATACACAAACAAAACGTAGAATATAATAACACAGGGCATCTTTTCTAAAAAAACAAAAACAAATACAACATCTTATTTAAAGACAGGATAATTCCAAATTATCACATTTCCATACCAGCACAGTTTAATATGTATATTTATCTTATCTGTTCAACTTCATATCTTTTCCCAACTTCTCTTTATTTCTCCCTTTCCTTCTATTCAATTATATTTCTTCTGCCTTAAATTGTATATATTCATTATACCCACCTGTCTTATTTAAAATTTCATTATTCTCTTCCAACATTCTTCTAACGTTTTGATAAACAAACAAAACACAAAACATAAATACATAAAACTTCTTTTTGGAAAGCGGCTTACCCCGGGTAACATCTTTTTGTACAGACATAAATCAAATTCATGCTCACTTAATATACTATTTCATATCTTATTTAACATTCTATATTTTCTATATATTTTCTCTCTTCATTCACTCTCTTAATTCTATTTTATTTATTCCATCTCAGTTTAAATAATTATACTTGCATCTTTTGTCCGTTCTCTTTCAATTATCTATTTTTCTTTTCTTTCTAGTACAATATTTCTCCTGTAATCACTGGTTGAAGTATGACAGCTTTTTATCTTTCCCCTAAATTTAACACTTAAAATAATACATACTTTCCATACTGATTCTGCTTAGTACATTCTAAGTATCACATTTTAGAATAATAAAACAAAGAAAAAAAGAGAATTAAGTTTATAAAATAGTAAAAACAATATTCCATAGAAAGTTAAACTCTATTATTGAATCTTAAACATTTTTATACGTTCCCTTTAATGCATTATTCCTTTTAGGCATTTATTATTATTATTATTATTTAAAAAAAGTACTCATCCTCTGGTTTGCCCAGAATCACAATGTACATATCCCTAATTATAGTTTTTCAAGCTATGTATTTCCCCATCTCTATTTTCTATTTAAAATGCTCTTCATTACAAACATTTTAGTTCCTTTTTCTTCTGCTTGCTTGCGGGAATTGGCTAAGTGTCTTTAAAATAGTAACAATCGAATGTTTCAGCAAACTCCTGGATTTTTGTCCTCTTCCTTCCAAGTTTTTTTTTCTTTTTTAATCATGGAAACATTTTTCTTTATGGTTCCTGGAAGTGTTCCTCGCTTGGAAATTGTTGTGCTGACAACTCACTGTACTCGGTACTGGCAGTACGTTGTTTTTTTTCAAAGTAATGGTCCTGGAAAGTAGTTAGGATCTATTACTGCTTTGCAGTGGCTGAACTTAATGGATTTGGCAAGCTATTTTGGAAAGCTTTCAGCTGCTTCTGGGCTTTTGTGGACTAAGGTTTAACTTTCTTTCAACATCCTATGATTCTGAGCTTCCTTCCAACCCTGGTCAACTTGTTGCTTGTTCTTGCGGACCAAATATTCAGAGGTTCCTGCCACGTCGGAAGGCGTTATTCAGAACTAGCTCTGTTCCCGTGCTACGCTACGAAACTAGGTGATCGGGCTTAGTTTTGGGGGAGGAAAATAAGGGGAAAAATTGTGCCTCTGCCGACCAGCATCCATCAGTATTCATCTGGCTAGCATCCTGTCAGTGTTCCAGATAACAGATAATCAGAGATGGAAGGGACCTTGTAGGTCATCTAGTCCAACCCCCTGCCCAAGCAGGACACCATTTCTGACAGATGGGAATCCAATAGTCTGACTCATCCTTATCCTTCAGTTCCAATGTCAACCTATCCATTTCGGCGCATCTTAACTATCACCTCGTCTTCCCTAGGAATTTCTTTAGCCTTCCAATTTTGGGCAAATGTCATTCTTGCCGCCGTGATTACATGTATTATTAGGTAGGTATCAGCTTTACTATATTTCTTTGCCATTATTCCCAATAAGAATAACTCAGGTTTGTAGAAAAAAATTAACCCCGTCATTTCCTCCAGCCACAATCCAATTTTATACCAGAACTCCTGAGCCCTTTTACAGGACCAGTATCAGAGAGCGTTGGGGGCTGTTTGGAAGCAGTATTTGCTGTGTGAGCAAGAAGGAGACAGCAAGGAGCCTGGGCGTGGCTTAGCTCAACTGTTCTGGACTAAAGTTGCTTGGTGCTCTGAAACCGAAACTCCTCTCTTCTGTTTGTGTTTTGTATTTGGAAGAGATTTCTTTTCAGGTGGGTAGGGGGAGTAGAACTCCTTAGCATCAGAGCGTGTTAATAATAATAATATTGGAAATACTAATGCTCTGATGGTCATTTCGAAAAATCCTTTCTTAGTGAGCCCCTAGAAGCCAAGAGGAATGAACATACAGGCCAAATGTCAAGTTTGTAGACTTTACGTTTCTGGAGATTTTGTGATGATGCGTGAGTGGTATTTCGCTTTTCTATATAGCGATTCTAGACAAATGAGAGCGGTGTGTGTGTGTGGGGGAAATAGCATCAAGAAAGCCCTCTCCGTTTCGACTCCCCCAATGGCTAAAGAGATTGAAACGTGATCTGTCATCCTCTCCTCTTTCATTCTCTCATGCCGTGCCTGCTACAATATCTGGTGTGTCGCTGTGAGAGGGTTTAGAAACCCTTGATAAAATGTTTTGTTCTCTGCTTCAGACTCAAAGGCCCAGGAGGGTTGAAGTGCATCTGCTGCGTTAAAAGCTGGTTGTTTTAAATTTCTCCATTGTAGATTTGCACTTCTACCCTTTTGCAGCGAGAGAGAGAGAGAGAGGGAGGGAGGGGGAGAGAGAGAGAGAGAGAGAGAGAGAGAGAGAGGTTCTTATCCTACAGATACAATAGGGCTTTAATTGATACCTCAGATTCGGAAAATCAGCGGAAAAGCACAGATCCAAACGCAGCAGGAGGTAGGTCAGCAAGAGAGACGATTTCCAAGCTTTGGATGGGTTTAAAAAAAAAAAAAAACATACCCCACACATTACACTTAAATAAAGTCAATTACCAAGACAGTCTTTGTAGTTCAAAGAAAGCAACCTACAGATCTTGCCTCCTTTGAAGTTTGCACAGCTCACTAAATGGAAGGGCGTACTAGCTGGTTAAAAGGGAAAAAAAATACCTGACTTATTTTAACTTTACAGGTAACAGATAATCAGAGTTGGGAGGGACCTTGTATAGGTCATCTAGTCCAACCCCCTTCCCAAGCAGGAGACCCTACGCCATTTCTGACTGACTGCTGTCTAGTCTCTTTTTGAAAGCCTCCAGTGATGAAGCTCCCACAACTTCTGAAGGCAACTTCTGTTCCATCGGTTGATTGTTCTCACTGTCAGAAAATTCCTCCTTATTTCCAGGTTGAATCTCTCCTGGATCAGTTTCCATTCATTGTTCCTTGTCTGGCCTTCAGGTGCCTTGGAGAATAGCTTGACCCCTTCCTCCTCTCTGTGGCAGCCCCTCAAATACTGGAAGACTGCTCTCCTGTCTCCCTTGGTCCTTCTCTCCACTAGACCAGCCATGGACACAACTTAGCTGGGCAGTCTAATAATGCAGAGATCAAGAATCCCCTTCTTGGAATTGCTTGTCTCACTTTCCTGCAATCGTCTTCCTAGTTTTGCCCTCCACTTCCTTTTTTGGTGATACAGGTAGTCCTCGGCTTGCAAACACAACGGAGGCCAACGCTTCTGTCGCTAAGCGAGACAGCTGTGAAGTAAACTTTGCCTCCTTTTTACGACCTTTCCTGCCACCGCTGCTGACTGAATCACTGCATTTGTTCAGTTAGTAACTTGGTTGTTATGTGAATCTGGCTTCCCCATGGACGTTGCTGGTCCGACGTGTCCCCAGGGACATGGCAACCGTCATTCATACGAGTCGGTTGCCAAGCATTTGATTTTTGATCACGGGACTGTGGGGAAGCTTGCGATGGTTGTATGAAAAATGGTCCTAAGTCATTTTTTTTTCTCCAGTTCCGTTGTAACTGCAAACGGTCACTAAATGAACTGGTGTAAGTCGAGGACTGCTTGCAAAGCACGGCTGCGATTTTATCCTGTTTCAACAGCAGCTAGGAAGCAACCTCTGCCCTTCTCCTGTCTTCCTGCCCCTTTGGAGTGTGATCAAGCGAAGAGACCGAGCGAAGAGAGGGTAATTGGCGGTGTTGCATCCACTCATGTCCTAACTAAGGGTGCTTTTTCAGGAGGCAACTGGACTTTTTTTGGCCTCCTGAGAGAGCACCTTTGGGACAACCATGACCTGGGTGAGGGAGAATCTCCATAACACATTTAGCGACACACTTTGGGATGAAACCCCCCCCTTTGAATGGTGCAGGAGCATGAACGGATTTCCAGAAAAATTGCAAACTACAGGAACCATTTGCACTACTCAAGTGACTCTTGAGGTTACAGATAAACCTCCAAGTGGCCTCAACGACCCTCTAAAAGGACGCAAATGACCAGCTGTCTGCCAGGAATATAAATCCTTCCATTCCCCACCACCCAGTCAGGGCTGAAGAAGCTTCCTGGAGGAGAAGAGAAACGTCTTCAAAAGGAAAAAAACAAAGACAGTCCAGTTGCCTCCTGAAAAATCACCTTTGGGACAGCCATGACCTGGATGAGTTGAGAATCTCCACTGGCCACTCATATCCTATCACGCTGCCCCTGGGAACGGCCGTAGCTGTGGCCTGTTTGGATGAATGATGCACGCTTTGGTGCTTGATGCTTGCAACAAGTGAAGCTTAATAAGGGAAAGGCAGCTGCATTCTGGCTGGCGACGTTTTCTGCTGCTGGCATCTCCCTCAGTTG